GGGAAGCGAGAAGGAAATCCATCCCGATCTCCTCCGCCAAGCCAGGAAGTGCAGGGGCCGTGAGACGAGTCGCCACCTTTGCCAGGGACATTCATTGCGCGCTCGTGCGAGAAAGGATTCAAGGCCGCGCGGGCCTGCACGGCACGCGCGGATATCGTGACACGCGGAAGCCAATCAGCGTGACTGCCTCCCCCCGCAGGAGGAGGGGGAGCGCTAAGCAGCCTGCGAAAATCCGCCGGGAGCTCCCGGGCCTCACTCTTTCTATGGACGAGCGAGCCAAGTCTTGTAAAGGGAGCGCGAGATCGCCGTCGTCGAGGCCGAGTACGAGGACGCAAAGGACCATCGAGAGATTAGCGAGAGGAGGACGGGAGGACGAAGGAGACGACGAAGGTGAGACGAGCATCGTAGCTTGTAAGGCTGCCGACCGGGGTACGTCGCCGGGTGGATCGCACGTAAGCCAGCTCGCATCGTAACGAGAGATCGGCGTAATGGCCGCCGTGTAGAGCCGCGGAACCGCGAGCCACGGGCCATCCTCCCGAGCCTTGGAGATAATTAGCTGTCGCGTTTCGATGATCAGAGTAAGGGGAGTCATATTCATTGCCGAGTTGACATAAATTAGAGTCGTTCGGATAGAATCGAGGGCCGAGTCGCGCTCGTTCCTCTCGCCACAGGAGAGTCACTTCCGGTTTCCGAGTAGAGTAGAGTCGCGCAGAAACGCGTAGAGTAGCCACGTCGTCGAGTCTCGTCGTGGCGCGTAACGACGCTTATTGCAGTTGCGTTCTCGTTTGGTATCGCGTCGCGTAGACACGCTCGCTATAATCACGTCGCACCATCGCCGTGGCGTCGGCCGCGGGCCGGCGTTACACGTCTGGGAGTCCGGTGGTACAGCGGGTACGGGTTCTTGCCGGTTGTCGAGGGGTGGGGGTTTGACACCGTCGGAAGATACCGCGGGGAAGGTCGGGGCTCGTGCTGTAGCGTATGACCGGCGTCCGGCGCTAGAAGTAAGTTAGCGATTCTCGATGCGAGTACCGAGAGTATCGAGTAGAGCGGCGGAGCGAAGCTCCGGAAGAAA